TTTTTTTTAAATCTTCCAAAATAATCGGTATTTTGTTGTACGGTGAGTTTGTAATTCTGCGCAATACTATGTAGATTTTGTGTAATACCTTGTAATATACCTGTAATGAACGGTAATACCCGTAATAATGCGTAATAATGCGTAATAACGCGTAATAATGAGTAATAACGTGTAATATTTTGAATATTTTTTTTTAAAATCTTCCAAAATAATCGGTATTTTGTTGTACGGTGAGTTTGTAATTCTGCGCAATACTATGTAGTTTTTGTGTAATACCTTGTAATATACCTGTAATGAACGGTAATACCCGTAATAATGCGTAATAACGCGTAATAATGCGTAATAACGTGTAATATTTTGAATATTTTTTTTTAAAATCTTCCAAAATAATCGGTATTTTGTTGTACGGTGAGTTTGTAATTCTGCGCAATACTATGTAGTTTTTGTGTAATACCTTGTAATATACCTGTAATGAACGGTAATACCCGTAATAATGCGTAATAACGCGTAATAATGCGTAATAACGTGTAATATTTTGAATATTTTTTTTTTAAATCTTCCAAAATAATCGGTATTTTGTTGTACGGTGAGTTTGTAATTCTGCGCAATACTATGTAGTTTTTGTGTAATACCTTGTAATATACCTGTAATGAACGGTAATACCCGTAATAATGCGTAATAACGCGTAATAATGCGTAATAACGTGTAATATTTTGAATATTTTTTTTTAAAATCTTCCAAAATAATCGGTATTTTGTTGTACGGTGAGTTTGTGATTCTGCGCAATACTATGTAGATTTTGTGTAATACCTTGTAATATACCTGTAATGAACGGTAATACCCGTAATAATGCGTAATAATGCGTAATAACGTGTAATATTTTGAATATTTTTTTTTAAAATCTTCCAAAATAATCGGTATTTTGTTGTACGGTGAGTTTGTAATTCTGCGCAATACTATGTAGATTTTGTGTAATACCTTGTAATATACCTGTAATGAACGGTAATACCCGTAATAATGCGTAATAATGCGTAATAACGCGTAATAATGAGTAATAACGTGTAATATTTTTAATATTTTTTTTTTAAATCTTCCAAAATAATCGGTATTTTGTTGTACGGTGAGTTTGTAATTCTGCGCAATACTATGTAGTTTTTGTGTAATACCTTGTAATATACCTGTAATGAACGGTAATACCCGTAATAATGCGTAATAATGCGTAATAACGCGTAATAATGCGTAATAACGTGTAATATTTTGAATATTTTTTTTTAAAATCTTCCAAAATAATCGGTATTTTGTTGTACGGTGAGTTTGTAATTCTGCGTAATACTATGTAGTTTTTGTGTAATACCTTGTAATATACCTGTAATGAACGGTAATACCCGTAATAATGTGTAATAATGCGTAATAACGCGTAATAATGCGTAATAACGTGTAATATTTTAAATATTTTTTTTTAAAATCTTCCAAAATAATCGGTATTTTGTTGTACGGTGAGTTTGTAATTCTGCGCAATACTATGTAGTTTTTGTGTAATACCTTGTAATATACCTGTAATGAACGGTAATACCCGTAATAATGCGTAATAACGCGTAATAATGCGTAATAACCTGTAATATTTTGAATATTTTTTTTTAAAATCTTCCAAAATAATCGGTATTTTGTTGTACGGTGAGTTTGTAATTCTGCGTAATACTATGTAGTTTTTGTGTAATACCTTGTAATATACCTGTAATGAACGGTAATACCCGTAATAATGTGTAATAATGCGTAATAACGCGTAATAATGCGTAATAACGTGTAATATTTTAAATATTTTTTTTTAAAATCTTCCAAAATAATCGGTATTTTGTTGTACGGTGAGTTTGTAATTCTGCGCAATACTATGTAGTTTTTGTGTAATACCTTGTAATATACCTGTAATGAACGGTAATACCCGTAATAATGCGTAATAACGCGTAATAATGCGTAATAACCTGTAATATTTTGAATATTTTTTTTTAAAATCTTCCAAAATAATCGGTATTTTGTTGTACGGTGAGTTTGTAATTCTGCGCAATACCATGTAGTTTTTGTGTAATACCTTGTAATATACCTGTAATGAACGGTAATACCCGTAATAATGCGTAATAATGCGTAATAACGCGTAATAATGCGTAATAACGTGTAATATTTTGAATATTTTTTTTTTAAATCTTCCAAAATAATCGGTATTTTGTTGTACGGTGAGTTTGTAATTCTGCGCAATACTATGTAGTTTTTGTGTAATACCTTGTAATATACCTGTAATGAACGGTAATACCCGTAATAATGCGTAATAATGCGTAATAACGCGTAATAATGCGTAATAACGTGTAATATTTTGAATATTTTTTTTTAAAATCTTCCAAAATAATCGGTATTTTGTTGTACGGTGAGTTTGTAATTCTGCGCAATACTATGTAGTTTTTGTGTAATACCTTGTAATATACCTGTAATGAACGGTAATACCCGTAATAATGTGTAATAATGCGTAATAACGCGTAATAATGCGTAATAACGTGTAATATTTTAAATATTTTTTTTTAAAATCTTCCAAAATAATCGGTATTTTGTTGTACGGTGAGTTTGTAATTCTGCGCAATACTATGTAGATTTTGTGTAATACCTTGTAATATACCTGTAATGAACGGTAATACCCGTAATAATGCGTAATAATGCGTAATAACGCGTAATAATGAGTAATAACGTGTAATATTTTGAATATTTTTTTTTAAAATCTTCCAAAATAATCGGTATTTTGTTGTACGGTGAGTTTGTAATTCTGCGCAATACTATGTAGATTTTGTGTAATACCTTGTAATATACCTGTAATGAACGGTAATACCCGTAATAATGCGTAATAACGCGTAATAATGCGTAATAACGTGTAATATTTTGAATATTTTTTTTTTAAATCTTCCAAAATAATCGGTATTTTGTTGTACGGTGAGTTTGTAATTCTGCGCAATACTATGTAGTTTTTGTGTAATACCTTGTAATATACCTGTAATGAACGGTAATACCCGTAATAATGCGTAATAACGCGTAATAATGCGTAATAACGTGTAATATTTTGAATATTTTTTTTTTAAATCTTCCAAAATAATCGGTATTTTGTTGTACGGTGAGTTTGTAATTCTGCGCAATACTATGTAGTATTTGTGTAATACCTTGTAATATCCCTGTAATGAACTGTAATACTCGTAATAACGTGTAATAAGCATACAAAAGGTTCTGTTATACAGCTTTAAAACCAGAAAATTCCCTGTCGTTCTTATATTATTAATATTAATTACATTACTTTTAATTGTAAGTAATTTTTTATATTCTTTATATGATTTTTATTTTTAATTATATAAATTGTAACCCATGCCACAATAAGAAAAGTTTAGGTTAAAACAAATTCTTTAAATCTAAATTGACAAATAGTGTAAACAACATAAATCATAGCCAGCAAAAATTTTTAAAACTCTCCGATAAAAGTTCAATTTGATAAACGCGTTTCTTATATTATTTCTTTTTATCAAATACACTTAGGGAAAATTGCAATTCTCTTTTTAACGTTCTCGATACCTATATACATATAATATATAATATATTTTTCTCAAGTATTTCAACGTGAGTAATCCCAAAAAAAAAAAATTTTCAATTGATCGAATTGAAAATTCCATATACATGTATAAAAAGAAAATTCAAGTGAAAGAGAATCAAACAAACAAAAAAAAAGTCAAATTCTCAACAGAACAAGTTCGTTGAGTGGAAAATCGATCAAATGTGTCGCACTAGAGAGAGAAAAAGGGGGTGTTTTGTGACAATGACCGGCGCGATAAGTAGGTGCCACGTTTACCGATCACGCTCGGGGGAAAACAAACCCGAAATGAATGACGGAAGTGTGAAAAACCCGAAGAGGTCGTGAACCTTATATATAGAAACTCCCTGAAGCTTTTTTCCCGGGTTCCTTTTGTTAAAATTCTCTCTCTCTCTCTCTCAATCAGTACAAAAATTCTTTTCTCTCCCTCCGTGGAAAATATAAAAAAATTTCAAGCTCAAATATATATAGTAAACCTTTTTCAATTCGATATTCGGCTGTGTCCATCACTGTCATGAGAATTTACTGCCTTCGAACACATTGATTCCAAAATTACTTTTTCCCAACTTTATCCCTTATTCTCTCTCTCTCTCTCTCTCTCTCTCTCTCTTCTTCTTCTTCTTCTTTTTTCGCTAAGCGTATTTATTTTTATTTCCCGCAGTTTCGTTGGAGAGGAAAAAGATTTCATTTCTCTCTTCTTTAATTACACAAGAGAATCAAAAAATAAGAAACAGAAAAATTTTTATTGGAAAAATGTTTTTCGATATAAAGTGGAAAACATGGAAAATATAAAAATTATTCTTTATAATAGAGATTTCATTTAAATAAAAAAATTTATTTAAACAAAAGAAATATTTATTTATGCCAAATAAAATTTTTATTTACGCCAAATAAAATAAGTTAATAGGCTCTGAGATAAGTTTCACTGAAATAGCGAAAGTTTTCGCTATTCTAGAGAAATATATCGCTGGTTCAGATAAAAAATTTTTTCCATACAAAAAAATAGTGATGAATTAGTAAATTATTATTTATTTATACTATATACATAGTGTTTACATTTTCAAATCCCTTACATAATAAAATACAAATAAAGTAATAAAATTTTAATAGATGTATATTATAATTCAAATAAAAATAAAATAAAACGTAACATTTCTAAATGCTTTGAATGATAATCACACCTTTAAATTTGCTCTCTTGCCCTTCTTTCGAACTCACTTGTATACAAATACAAGCCCACAATTGGCCTTGATTTAAGGCATTGTGCTAAGAAACCCTTTCCTTCTCCTTGACTCAGCCAATCGTCATAGATAAATTAGTAAATAATTTAATTTTTTTTTTTGTAATTTTATAAACTTGAAAATATTTTTTTTTTCAATTTTTGCAGTTTTAACAGCTCCAGGATACGATGTAATGGTGAATAGATCTCCCGTTGTTGTTGGTAATAATGCAGTTCTTTCTTGTACGGCACGAGAAGATGTCAAGGAACATCTCACAGTTGCATCCTGGTATCGAGACGAAGCCATTCTTTTACCTGGGAACACCGATACTGGTAAGTTTATTTATTTTTTCATTTTTCACATAAAATTTTAATATAAAAAAAAAAAAATTACACACCCTCTCAATGAAAAATATTTCCCTTAAAAATTTATTTACTCTCTAAATCTGAATTAATAAAAATATAATTACTAATTTGAATTAGTGACTCACTTTTTGCTTTTGTATTAGTAAAATTTTACTAATTATTAGTAACTTTTACTAATAATTAGTAAAATTTAATTCTAAAGCAAAAAGTAAATCACTAATTTAAATTATTGAACATTTTTACTAATTCAGATTTAAAGAGTATTAAAAACAATTTGTTTAAATAATTGAAACATTTTTTTTTCATTTTTAACAAATACAAATTAATTTTTCACAAATTAGCCAAAAAAAAAGGTTTAAATTAATTAACAATACAATTTTTTTTCAAAATTGTTTACAATTTCTTTTTGCGCTATTTGTTCCTCTTTTTCGTTATTTCTGTTTAATTTGTAAGTTGACGAATTTTTTTTTTTCTATATTGTTTTTATTATCTTTTCATCCTTAAAAAAAAAAAAAAATATTTCTAGTTTACGAACAAATATGAAAAAATATTTTCACGTTGGAAAATTTGTTTCCCCACTGTTATTTAAATAATTATACATTCTGGTTGTGTAATTCCATTAAAATGTGTAAATTGCAACAAATTCACTCGTCCACACTGTGTGTTCACTTGTGCGTGAATCGTAAGCGTTTTATAAAACAATAAACACACACATATATATTGGATATTTGTCCAAAAATCATCAGGCATCGATAAAATATTCTATGTAATTAATTAAAATTATTTAAAATTTGATAACAAATTAAATCAAAATTGACAAAAAATTTTCTTTTCAAATTAATCGGCAAAAAATAAATATTGTGGTACAAAAATATTTTTGTCCTTTTCATAATTTTTGTTTATAATTGAATTTCCTTTTCGGATGTTTGAAAAGTTTTTGCACTTTTAGTTTTTTTTTTTTTTTTTTTTTGATATATTCTTTCACTAAAGTAACATTTTATGATGTATATATACTATAAGTGGAACGGAATATTTACATTTTTAAGAAGAAGCTTTTTACCATGGAACTTCTTAATCTAAATAACAAAGCCATACCTTAACCGAAATTTAAATATTAATTGATGCAAATTCCCTTCGTGGAGGTCATCAGTGAGACTTGAGAACGAATTATATGGAAAAGTTCATCTCACACTTTTCTCTCACTGGACTAATTACTTGAAAAAGTGTAACTGTCTTTATTTACGATTAAATAATCCTCTTCTTCTTCTCTGATAGTTTTTTTTTTTTTTTTTTTTTTTTGAAAATAATTATCATCGTTTTTTTAATACGAATTTTACAGGAAAATTTTTAGATATCCAATTTTTGATTTGGTAGAATATTTATTTTGTGCATTTAATTTACATAATATGACTTTTTAATTAAGGGAATTTTAATTTAATAAAATTTTAATTTAGTAGAATTAAATTTTCATTTTAGGAATTTTTTTTTAAAATGCCGAATTTTTATTTGTCCGAAATTACAAATGACTGAACAAAAAATCGACAGAAATATTTTGGTGCAATATTTGAAAGTTGACCAATTAGAAAACAATTAAGAAAATTGTGATTGGTTAAATTTTTAAAATTACTCCGGAATCTTTTTGACAATTGTTTGTTCGGTCATTTGTAATTTCGGACAAATGAAAATTCGGACAAATTAAAATTCGATGAATTGGATTTTCTGTCATTTAAAAATTCGAATCACATAAAATTTAATTGAATAATGAAAATTCTGTTAAATTAAAATTCGTTTCAATTAAAATTTCTTTAAACAAAAAATCAATTTAAAATTAAATTACTGTAAAATTAAAATTAAAATAAAAAATTTGGTAGCTAAAAATATTTTTTACATAAAAATTCGTAAAAAAAAGAAATTCTTGTCATTTGCTAATTCGAAAAATGAAAATTCGTCTAAAAAATAATTATTTCTAATAAAATACTTGAAAATAAAAATTTTAATAAATGCATTTTTTGGGGGGGGGGGTAATTATGCACTCCATTATGAAGTGTTTTGCAAAAAAAAAAAAAAAAAAATATTTGCTATGAGAAAAAATGTAATTAACAATTGGATAAACGAGGAATGCATTTCATATAAAAAATAGAAAAAATTTAATGAGGCATTGTATAATATGTATGTATTATAATTGAGAGAGAATATTGTGGTCGTTTTGATGAGTTTACTCTCTCTCTCTCTCACTCTCTCAGCGTAATCTACGCTCTACGAGAATGAATCTCTGGGCAATCAGCGGGAAGCGAGAGATTGTGCACATATATATATATATATATAGTCAAGTAGAGCGATGCATATACAATAATATATGACGCGAGATGTGACGATGTGTTTTAGTTAAGATCTAAATTTTAGTACCTGCCACATGCAATTCGTTAGTATAAAATAATATCCCAAGACGCCTCTCTCTCTCTCTCTCTCACTCTCCTTCTCGATTATCGCTTTACATTTATTTTGATTTGAAATTCCATTTTCCACAACACAAAATACTTTTTTTTAATAAAAAAGTTTTCATCAAAAAAGTATAGAAAAAGAAAATTAATTAACTCTTTCATCTTGTAAATTAAATTTTATTTCGATTTGTAAATTGGGTCAAACTATTAAAAAGAAAAAATTAATTCTATTTTCTCAATATTTTTATAAATTAATTACTAAAAATATAATATTTAATTATATTATATTAATTATGAAAAAAATATTTTCACATGATAATTAGTTTACGTCTAGATTTTTTTTTCTTCTTCATTGACTTATTTTTTTATTTTATTTTATTTTCTATCCTCTCTATCATATATATATATATATATATATATATATATAAGGATACAATTCTTAAATCGAGAATATTGTGCAATTTATCATGTCATGTATATATATCTCATATCGAAGTAAATGTCAAAACGTCAACTTTCACGTACAATTCAACGAAATTGCTCATCCCTTTTATAATCCAAAGGGGGGTTAACACTTCTTTTCATTTTACTGACGTGAGACTATTTTTTTCCCTCTCTATCTCTCTCTCTTTTGACATTAATATTTTCCAATACATAAAATTTCATTTTTATTATCTCTTTTTGATTTTACGTAAAAAATATCAGCTAACAATTTTTTACGATGATTTTTATAAATTTATTATTATTATTATTATTATTATTATTATTATTATTATTATTATTATTATTATTATTATTATTATTATTATTATTATTATTATTATTATTATTATTATTATTATTATTATTATTATTATTATTACTATTATTATTATCATTATTATTATTATTATTACTATTACTATTGTTATTATTGTTATTATTATTAATATTTTTTATTAGTAGTAGTAGGAGTAGTAGTAGTGTTAATTAGTATTAATATTATTATTTTTATTATTATTATTAAATTGTTATAATTTATAATAAAAAAAAAATGACAATGTCAAATTTTGCATTTAAAGATTAAATATTCCAAGAGGTGAAATTTGAGAAAAATCAATATAATCAATGACTCTCTTTTATAGTTAATTAAAATGTTGAATGCTGCGCTTTATTTAATTTCCGGCTTCTTTACAAATAGAGATCAGTTTCGTTTTCAATTTGTTGAGAGTAAAGTATAAAACTTGGCATCAGGGTTTCTTCATTAAGTTTCTCAATTTTAATCCAATATTATTATTATTATTATTTTTTTTTTATTTATTATTTATTCATTATTTATTTTATCAACAATTAGATTATTTTAATAAACTATAAAAACAATTATCATCTCCTAAAATTCGATATTATTATTATTTTATTTGCAAACAATTTTAAAAATTATTTTAAACACCAAAAAAAAGGTATTTTTTATTTTTTAAAAACAATTAATTACAAAATAAATAGAAATTAATTTTTTTTTCTATATATATATAAAACGGAAAGAAACGAATTCGTGGCAAACTAATTTTTACGCATGTTAAAATGAGCCAATAACGGGGCGCATGATTATTTCATAAAAGTCATTAGTTAAAATTTTCATTTTAAAGAATTTTATTAAATATAATTATTTTTTAGACGAATTTTTATTTTTCCAAATTAACATTTGATAGAATTAATTTTTTCAACAAATTTTTACTTAACATAATTCTTATATATCGAAATTTTATTTGGCAGAATTTTTATTTGTCCGAAATTGCAAATGGCCGAACAAACAATCGACAGAAAGATTTTGGCGCGATTTTTAAAATCAACCAATCAAAAATTATCCATAAAATTGTGATTGGTTGATTTTAAAAATTCGCGCCAAAATCTTTCTGTCGATTGTTTGTTCGGACATTTGCAATTTCGGACAAATAAAAATTCGGCGTTTTAAGAATTCTGCCAAATAAAATTTCGGTGCCTAAGAATTCTGTTAATTAAAAATTCTTTAAAAAAGAAATTCTAACAAAATGTTAATTTGAAAAATGAAAATTCGTGTAAAAAATAATTATATATGTAATGAAATTGTTGAAAATGAAAATTCTCACTAAAAATTTTTATGGGATAATCATCCCCCCCCCCCAGTAACGAGAAATATTTGCCAAATCAAAAAAAAAAAAATGATAACAAAATGTTTAATAGCAAAAAAAGTTTAGAAGCAAAAAAATTTTTTTCCCTCTGTATTATATCAAAGAAGTGTATTTTGCTGTGACTGCAAACAAAAATTTGCTGCCACAGTAAACTTTTTTCTATGCGTTTGTATAAATTAAAAAATAGAAAATAAAAATTGATTTTTACCTTTTTTTTGGGAAATTAAAAACAACTAAGAATAAATTCCCCGCAATAAGAATGTAAATGAGATATGTGAAAAAAAACTTATATTTTCCTCTATTTTTCCACTTGGGATATTATTTTCATTTTTTTCAATATATATAGATATATATATATATATATAAAGAGACGCGGTCA